GTGGCAGTTTGTCTTAAACATGTTGACATAGGATTTTTAAGATTGAGGAAAGTATATTAATGTAAGTAGTGTCAACATAAGTACTGAAATACTCTGTTGAAACCTAAGTAGAGGTCACGATGGTGACGTCATCTTGGGGTTGTTGCTCCACAGTACTCCCATCCCCATTGTTCATTTTCTCAGGCTCCCTACCCTCTGTGGATAGGACCTGACTATGCCTCTCAGCAGCTCTTGGCAAGGCCAAAAGGGCTTATCAAACTACATAATTCACTGTGGGACGATTGTGTATTAGATATTGGGGTTATTTCTGCTTTTGAAATCCATGTTGATCAGAAGCTGCTGAACAAGCCTCTATCTATTTTATTTTCCTATGTGAGAAATGATGAGCATGTCAACATTCTTCATACCAAAGTGAAGACATGAGATCCAACTCTGATCTTACCTTGCTGATAATGCCAGTAGGCTCATGTTGAAGGTATGACCAGAGCAAGGATGCAGTTCTGATCATTTTTCCTTGACAGGTGATTGAAGCCTCAGATGTTGTGCTAGAGGTGTTGGATGCCAGAGATCCTCTTGGTTGCAGGTGTCCTCAGGTAGAAGAGGCCATTGTTCAGCATGGACAGAAAAGGCTGGTACTTGTATTAAATAAATCAGGTGAGCCAAGGGAATGCCCCTTGTCTTCCATGTGCACTGGTGAGGTATGAGGAAAACATCTTAACAGTCTGATTGTCACTGAGGACTGGTAAGATCCAACTCTGACCTCAGCAAAGCCAGAGCATTGCCCTCTGGTTGCCAAAGACAGTGCTGGGCAGTGGCAGGGGAAAGGTGGGTTTTACAAGTTATTCGACTGGTTTCTACTGTTCTTTTGCCATTTAATACTTACCATTGTAGCTTATTTAAGAGTGTAAGTTTCTATACCCAGCTTACTGTGTAGCATGTTTCATGTAGGAAGTTATGACTGTGTGCCAAATTCCCCACACCTACACTATGTTGAGTATTAGTTCAGGAGTGAAATAAATTGGGATGGATGTGACAAAATATTTAAGTGAAATGCATAATTATGTATCTGGGTTTGAGCAGCAGGAACAGGAACAACCAGAACCAAGATTTATAAAGCATAAAGTTGAAATGGGACCATAATTATTGGGGTTAGGAAACAGATGGCTGCAAACTGAGAGTAAATTCTGGAAATAGAGGTATAGGGTTAGTGGGGTCATAATCCAGATGTTGAGTCTGTCCTGAAAAGGTGAGCAATGCAGGGGGGATTAAAGTACAGGAGTGTAGATATTGAGCTTGGTTAAGAAAAGGGCAGTATGGTAAGAGTTTATCCTCCCCCCAATTTTCCACCTAAATCTTTTTGAAAAAACAGAAGAGGCAAACCAGAGCAAAATCAGCAGTTTACCCTATATTGCAGATTAATCTCGACAAAATGACTAAATGGAGCATGTGTCTTATTTCTAATTCATGTCAGATCTGGTACCAAAGGAGAATTTGGAGAACTGGGTAAATTATTTGAAGAAAGAATTGCCAACAGTGGTGTTCAAAGCCGCAACAAATCCAAGGGACAAAGGGAGGATAACCAAGGTACTCTCTACTCCTAGTGGTGAGAAATGTGGTTCTTTCAGATTTTAGATGGTTGAAATATGATGAGTTTATAAAATCTTGATTTAAAAAATGAAAAATTACAAGATCCAACTCTGATTTCATCCGGAGATCATCTGGAAGGCAATAAAGTATAGCAATTTTAAGAGCTGAGTGCTAGAGCCAGATTGCTTGGTTTTTACTGACTTGGCACAATAATTAAAGTAATTATTTGGAATTTCAATATGTGAAGGTAAAGAAGAAAGCTGCTCCATTCAAAAGTAAAGTCTGCTTTGGGAAAGAGGGCCTTTGGAAACTTCTTGGAGGTTTTCAGGAGACTTACGGCAAAGCCATTCAGGTTGGAGTAATTGGTGAGTTTCAGTTCATAACGTTTTTATTTAAGTATCAAGATTCATGTTAAGTAACAGTGTATGGTGTTGTCAAATAAAAGCGTTGCTCAAATATTAGCTTTTTTCCCACCTTATCAAAAACACATAACCACTCACAACTTAAAAAAAAAATCCTTCCCACATTGGGCAAGAAAAAAAAAAATATAAGAAAAAAAACTTAATTGCTGCCGGATTCAGTTCTTTGTTTTGACTGAGCACTGTAGGAAATTGGCTTCTAGAAACTCTTGGTTCGTTTGAATTAATAGTCTTTTCCTGCCCTTTCTTTACTTGTGCAAGAAATGAAGAAGCTAAGGTTGGTCTTAGTGGTGAAGTGAAGACGCTCAGATCCAACTCTGATCTTGCACTAAACATCAGGCAAATGTAAAATTAGGCAGTGAAATTTCTATAATTACCAACACATGCTTTTTACATCTGTTCATTTCCCATTTATTTGTAGGCTTCCCAAATGTGGGGAAAAGCAGCATCATCAATAGCTTAAAACAAGAATGGATATGTAATGTTGGTGTTTCCATGGGGCTTACAAGGTATATTGAGCTGATCCATAATTATACTATTTTATTTGTTTTTTTGGCTCTATTACCCAGGCTAGAGTACAGTGGCATTGTCATAGCTCACTGCAGCCTCAAACTCCTGGGCTCAAGCAATCCTCCTGCTTCAGCCTCCCTAGTAGCTGGGGCTAAAGGCACACATCACCACACCTGGCTAATTTTTTCTATTTTTGGTAAAGATGGTGTCTCACTCTTGCTCAGGCTGGTCTCAAACTCCTGACCTCAAGCGATCCTCCCACCTTGGCCTCCCAGAGTGCTAGGATTATAGGCATTAGCCTCAGCGCCTAGCCTGGAATATTTTATTATTGTAGATGAGTAAATATGATTTTATTTTGATTATCTTGAGAAAGACAATTTTCTTTCTTTTTTTTTTTTTTAAAGCTGTCAGTGAAAGGAAGCAGGTTAAGCCATTGTCGTACTTGGGGAAGAATTGACTGGAGTGGGACAGTTGTTCACCATTTAGTTTGAAAGACAAGATTAGGAGGAAAGCTGCCTTGGAGGAAGTGATGTTTGAACTTGGCCTTGAGAAATGAATAAAAGTTTGCCAGATAGAAGGGGTATTTATAGTAGAAAATACAGCATGTGTTTAGGTCAGTATGTGTTTAGTCAGTGTTTCTCTTCAGAAGAGGCGGATATGCTATTAGGGTTTTAGATAAACATGAAGCAAATGATGATAAACTGGATCTGACTGACTGTGCTGAGTTTGTTCAATCCAACCCTGAGCTTCGTGTTCTGTCTCTTGCCCTCCAGATAAACCAATGCCCCCATCAATTCCATCTCTCTTCTTTCAGGAGCATGCAGGTTGTCCCCTTGGACAAGCATATCACAATCATAGATAGTCCATGCTTCATTGTATCTCCACTTAACTCCTCCACTGCACTTGCTCTGCGAAGTCCAGCAAGTATTGAAGTGATAAAACCGATGGAGGCTGCCAGTGCCATCCTGTCCCAGGCTGACACTCGACAGGTAGAAGCATCCCTTTCCTTGAGGTCCTTACCACTATTTTGTCTTTTGTCATAAACATTTTATATGTGTACTACATCAGATGATGACAGTTCTATTTTTTTTTTTAAGGTAGTACTGAAATATACTGTCCCAGACTTTAAGAATTCTCTGGAATTTTTTACTACACTTGCTCAGAGAAGAGGTCTGCACCAGAAAGGTGGAACTCCAAACGTTGAAGGTGCTGCCAAACTGCTGTGGTCTGAGTGGACTGGGTAAGGCTTCTTTTTGTTGGCATTCTGGTGACCACATAGAATAAAGAACTGATTTTTGACAAGTCTTGTTTTTAATATCAGTGCCTCATTAGGTTACTATTGCCATCCTCCTACATTCTGGACTCCTCCTCCATATTTTAATGAAACTATTATGGCAGACATGAAATGTGGTTTTAATCTGGAAGAACTGGAAAAGAACAATGCACACAGCATAAAAGGTGAGACTTGTGTTTCCCTGCTGCCTTCATTGGCTGATGGGCCAGTACAGGTCCTATCTGTTCACATGGGATTTGTTCATTTCTTAGCCATTAGGGGCCCTTTTTTGGCCAACAGTATCCTTTTCCACTCTTCGGGTCTGACAAGTGGAATAATAGAGGGAAAGGACATACATGAAGTAGTGCCAAAACAGAAAGAGAAGGAGGAGGAGGAGAATAAAGAAGACATGAACAGTGACCAGGAAATTGTTAATAATGAAATTGATGTAAGTATGTTCTCCATTTCTTAACAGAGTTTAAAGCTGAAGTGAGTTTTCTAGCATCATAATGTATAATGAATGGTAAGGGGCAGAAGTTAGAAATAATTTGTAGTCAACTGGAAGAAGCAGCCCCATACAATTTAGGTATTTGAGGCTTGTGATCATTAGTCTTTATTTTGCACATCCTGTTACATGTACCTTCAAAGACTTAATTTTTCCAGGTACCTAATTACTTGGATTAATGAGCAAAGGCTACAAATCCAGCACCTTTTTTTGGTCCCACAGGAAAAGAGCTCGGACATGTCCCCTGCAGAAGAGACATGGGAGGTACTGCCTGAGGAGTCTACAGCAGGTGAGTCTGGGGCAAAGAGCTTCTAACAAAGCATCATGGTATGGAATCACTCATGCTTTTTAAAAATAAAATCTTACTTTATTTTCCCACAATATAGGTGAACAGTCTACAAGATCTTTTGTCTTGGATAAAGTGATTCAAGAGGATGATGCTTATGATTTCAGTACAGATTATGTGTAACAACAGTGTCCTTTTTTGAGACGTTTTAACATTGTAAGACTTCTAAATTGTATGTGTATACTGTGCATTTGTTATGGTGTGTGACATAAGCTGTAAATTTTGTGAATGTTATATTCATTAAATACAGTCAGGCAAGTAGGAATGCCTCATATCGCCTCTTATAATACCAGGAGTGGATGGAAATAGTTATCTGGATGGAAATAGTTATCTGGAAGCAAACAAACAAAAAACCCCAGATACCTATTGAAAAATGTAACTTTTATTTACAGATAGCAATAGGTTACAAAATTAAAACCAAGCAGCAGTTTTGAATTAGCTGGTAAGCTAGCTGAACTAGCTATATCAACCATGAGTCCATTCTTCTGGTCATTCCGCATTATAGTAAGAAAACACTTGGTGAGGCAGATGGAGACATTTATATTATAGTCTACCTGGACGCCAGACAGGGCAGTTTGTTCTCTTTACCCAGCTGAAACATCTTTTTCCATGGGTTGTTACAGGCAGGCATTGAAGCCTAGCAACTGTTAACTTCCCACACATACTGTCTTGCAGGATTTCCTGAGAAAAGCTTATAGTTTAAATTCTATTTCATTTTATGTTTGAGATCTCTGTATATCTTCGGATTAGGCTGAATTTGCCTGTTGGATCTGGAATATACCATTTTTCCCAAACATCCATATATGAAGCAGTCCTTCCCCATGGCTTAAAGTGTCCATTCCAATGGAGTAACTTGGCAGCTTTTACAAACTGGGGTGAATATCGTTTTCCAGCACTGGAACCTTAATAATTCAGAGAAAAAGACCAGTCAGACACAAGACAATGCTACACCAAATGGTGCAGAAAACAGAATCAATGGCTATATCCCATCTTTAGCTTAGGCCATTGGTTAATTATTTCTACTTACCAAGGTGGCGGACATTCCACATAGGATCAATGGTGGAGTGCTGTTGATAAAATACGATAAGTAGAGGAGGTGTTGTGATGCTGCCAGCCAGTGTTCTGCTGTATAGTCCCTCTCTTGGTGGGACAGATAACAAATGTTAGTGAAGAATACTATCTCCTGTTAGTCAAGATTTCCAGAGATCAAATATAAGACTTTTCATAGCTGAGCCAGTTACATACTTACTCCACATTGAGTTTCATCCATTTTTCCAGCTGGTTTGTTATATTCTGTCGTTTCCATTCTGTCAGGTTTGCAACAAAAACTCCAGGATTAAATGAGCAGGTGCTGGCTTTCATGGAAAGCTTACGAATTCTTTCCTTTTTATAGTCAAGATAGCCAATATAATTGTACTAAAAACACAAATGGGATGTATATATTTACTGTTTCAAACAGAGTAGATACAATCTTACAGCTGATAAAGAAAAAATCTTGTTAAAAACTAAATTCTCAGGTCATTAGCAAATAAAAAACTGATAATTGACACTCTTAAGTTAGAATAGGAACCTAGATTTTGACATACTGTATCAGATGTTCAAGGACAATTAGGTTGTAAAGTCCATGAACAAATCTACGGAAAAGCAGCCTTGAGTTTTGGAATGAAATAATTCAGCAAAAACAAGAATTCCCTGAATTTGCCACCTCTTCCCATTAAACTATATTACAGGCAGTGGGGTGGCTGGTAAGTAACTTACCTGGTTCCCTGCTCCACGGATGACAACTTTAGTAGAGATTGAATCACAATCTTCTGAAAATGCAGCTGCATGTCCTGGCTTCAGTGGTGTATTAAAAAGGGCAAGAATATCACCTGAAGTAAATAAGCTGTTAAGATTTACATTTCCAGTTGCCTTGAGATTGATTCCCTTTTCCTCCCACTTCTTCCCATGGTGACCTTTTATTGGAGACCATAAATAAGACAACCACTACACATACAATCTAGATGGAGAACAGCACTCATGGTGACAATCTTTGATACCTTGCACAATTACATCATCGTCCATATATATGGCCTTCTTTTCACTGGGAACCAGAATTGGCAAGTAGAACCTTGCAAAGGTTAACTGGAAAAGGAAAGAATCATTGGCAAAAGATACTGCAGTGGCTGTGCTTTTATTTACATAGAAACTCCTAGAATGCTCTCAGTACCCATGCAGGAGAAGACAGCCAACCAACTCTTAGATCCACCCAAGGCTTGGTCCCTAGGGAACTACTTGCATTACAGCCAAAGTTACCCAGGTATTCCAATCTTTTCCCATCATTGTACTACCAAGCACAAACAAGGATGCATGGAACTTACTGGTTTCATGGATTCCCCTTGGTCAGGATCCTCCTTTACTTTCCCTTCCAAAAGTTTAGTGTCAAAATTCACAATTTTGTACCTGATGCTTTTCAGGGGATCACTGTTGAGCCAGGACCTGGTGAGGATAAAGCACCATATTTTAGTTTTAAATAAGCATATCTCCAAACCAATGGGGCATAATATAACTTAAGAGAAACCGTAAGACCCAAATAGGTGTTTTCAAGCTCCTTTAATCTTTCTGAGCCTTGGTTTCCTCACCTGAAGTGAGGGCATTCCCACAAAAGTCCCTCCCTAAACCAAGATTCTATGGTAATTCTCTTCCAAAACTAGAACTACTCTAGAAAAACTATGGAATTAAGAACATTCCATCACATGGACCATTCAACTCAACCCTCCACATACACTGCTGAAGAAAATGAGTCAAAGTATGAAGGTAATGAAAACTAATTACCCAAGAAAGTAATCGGTCTGCTATCTACAAGTTTGACTTATTAATGCACTGTGATGATCGTAAGTAATTCCTCCACCTGTGTCTGAGGCACTACGTGTATGAAAAGCCAGTGTTTCCTAAGGAAGTCATGCATTTTCCCTAGGTCTATTTCATATCAGCATTTCTGTAGTATATATTAATGTGGTTTTTGTTTCTATATTTTAGTGTGTTCCGAGGGGTTTTTGTCATTTTTTTCTTTCCTATTTAATATGCATATAAATGAGTTTTTAAAATATGAGAAAATCATTTTAACTTTCACAAACTAAATATGAATCATGGAGAAGACAACAAGGACAGAAATGTTTTAGAACTCTTACTACTGTTAACCTGTTAGACAAGCTGCTTCTTGGAATAAACTTTTTAAGTCTTTTTTTTTTTTTTGAGGCAGAGTCTCACTCTGTTGCCCGGGCTAGAGTGCCGTGGCGTCAGCCCACCTCACAGCAACCTCAAACTCCGGGGCTCAAGCGATCCTCCTGCCTCAGCCTCCCGAGTAGCTGGCACTACAGGCATGCATCACCATGCCCGGCTAATTTTTTCTATATATATTTTTGGTTGTCCAGCTAATTTCTTTCTATCTTTTAGTAGAGACGGGGTCTCACTCTTGCTCAGGCTGGTCTCGAGCTCCTGAGCTCAAACAATCCACCCGCCTCGGCCTCCCAGAATGCTAGGATTACAGGCGTGAGCCACTGCGCCTGGCCTTTTTTAAGTCTTAATTCATTTTTAAAACATGAATTAGACTATCAGATTGGGTTTCTATTTATCACAACAATTAAAATTGTAAGGACCATTTACTGAGCAATTTGCTAGGTGTTTTATATGTATTTTCTCATTTACTTGACCCAACAATCCTAAATTGGATATTTTTGCCCAATAACTAAATGAAGAAATGGGCTCCAAGCTTCCCCACATCACTGAGCCAGGATTTGGATCAGGATCTGTGCTCTCAACTTCATCACACTTCCTTGCTCTTGTTCCCAAGTCCCTTCCCACTCTAGATCAGAACTACTCAGAGCATGTCCATGAGATAAGGAACTTGTGACCTATAAATCAACATGCTGCTTCCTTCACTGAGAATGTCTTATTACCAAAACATCAGGTGAAGTTAACTCTACCTAACAACACAGTTGATTACTTCTTGGCATAAGCCCCTTATATCATTTCTGCTATCATGGGGACATGCTTATAATACAATAAAAGATCTTACATGTGCAGCTTGTATGTGCTATAGTCTCAAATTGTATAAAACAATACATATAATGCAGAAAGACAATTCCCAGATTGGCAGCTGGCCTGCTCTGAAGCATCCTCCAGAAACAGAATCAGGCAAGCAGAGCTCACCGGAGATGGTCTGCTGTATTATTGAGCGTAACAATGTAGAAAATCACATTGGAATGAGTGTTGTGCTGAATGCTGTTTATGGCTGCAATGGCCCCTCCAAGCCTGTCTTCAGATGCAGCAATGACCACAGGAATCTCCTCTTGTCTCCAGTCTGCTGCATGTCGGGGAGCATTTGGGACAAAGTCTATAGGCTGAAGCCCCACAATTCCTGAATCTGAAAAGAACACATGTAAGGAAGGTTCTGTGATACAAACACAATTCGATACGCTTCTAATAAAGAGTCCAAGACATGGAAAGAGGTAAGGTGTGGATTATCGTACTGATGTACTTCATTCTCCCCCATTAAACTCTGAAGTATACGTCCCAGAACTTTTGTTTTCTCATATGTAACCAAGCTTTTGGAAAAGTGAAAGCTTTTTTAAAACAGGCTGAAGGCACTCTGATATACTACAGGTAGGAAAATAACAAAACCTTTCTAGAATGTATCATGGCAATTTGTATCAAGAGTCTTAAACACACACATGGCTTTTGACGCAATCATTCCCCTTGCCACCTCTTTTAAGCACAAAATCTGAAGTGTAATCAAAAGTTACAATTTGGCCAGGCATGGTGGGTCATGCCTATAATCTTAGCACTTTGGGAGGCCAAGATGGGAGGATCGCTTGAGGCTAGGCAAAACCAGCCTGAGCAACAGAGCGACACCCTATCTCTACAAAAAATAAGAAAAATTAGCCAGGCATGGTGGTGCACACCTGTAGTCCCAGCTACTTGGGAGGCTGAGGTAGGAGGATCACTTGAGCCCAGGAGTGTGAGGTTACAGTGAGCTATGATAATGCCACTGCACTCTAGCTCAGGCAACAGAGTGAGACAATTAGTGAAAACCTAGAAACAGACTAAATCAGTGTTTTTCAAATCATAAGTAGGTATGAAATCAATTTAGTGGGTCACAATCAGTATTTAAATAGAAAGTTTCTGGATTGGCATAGAAAATTGAATTAGAACAGAAAAGGAAGTGTATTGCACAAAGCAACTGCAATTAGTGTTCTGTAAATGTCCTTGCCTTTCATAATATATTCATTTACTCATCATTCACTGAATGCTGAGCACCTACTATGTGGCAGGCAATATCAAGGCATTGGGGTTACAGCCATGAATAAAACAAGTATCTACCATTATGGAAGACAGACAATAAACAAACACACATGTATATGTGTGTGCTGCATGTAATACATTTCTTTTTTTTTTTTCTTGAGACAGTCTCACTCTCTTGCCCAGGCTAAAGTGCTGTGGCATCAGCCTAGTTCACTGCAACCTCAAACTCCTGGGCTCAAGCGATCCTCCTGCCTCAGCCTCCCGAGTAGCTGGGATTACAGGCATGTGCCACCATGCTCGGCTAATTTTTTTCTAATTTTAGTACAAACAGGGTCTCGCTCTTGCTCAGGCTGGTCTCAAACTCCTGAGCTCAAACAATCCACCCGCCTCGGCCTCCCAGAATGCTAGGATTATAGGCGTGAGCTACGGGGCCCAGCATTGTAATACATTTCTTATTGTGGATTGCCATTAAAAATCTGAAAGTAAAAAAAAAAAAAAAAAAAGGCCTGAAAGTCATTATACCAAAAGATGTTTTCCTATGGAAACAAACTATATGCCATTAAGATTATATATGAAGAGTTTCTGCTAACATGGTGACATGCTTATGATATAATCACATGGAAGAACATGTCCTATGTACAGTTTGTAGTATAATCTCACTGTGTAGCAAAACATACACATGAAGAAAAAGACTGGATGGGGGAATAAAAAAAAAGACTGGGAGGCTGAGGTGGGTAGATCGCTCAAGGTCAGGAGTTCAAGACCAGCCTGAGGAAGAGCGAGACCTCGTCTCTACTAAAAAATAGAAAGAAATGATCTGGACAACTAAAAATATATATATAGAAAAAATTAGCCGGGCATGGTGGCTCATGCCTGTAGTCCCAGCTACTCGAGAGGCTGAGGCAGTAGAATCGCTTGAGCCCAGGAGTTTGAGGTTGCTGTGAGCTAGGCTGACGCCACGGCACTCACTCCAGCCCAGGCAACAGAGTGAGACTCTGTCTCAAAAAAAAAAAGACTGGAAGGCACTAAGCCAAAATTTTAATAACAGTTACCTCTAGGCATTGAAATCATTCATGCAACTAATATTTATTGAACAACTCCTAGTATCAGCCATTATCTGTAGGCACGTGAGATAAAGCAGTGAACAAACTGCTCTGACAGAACTTGAATCCTATTTTCTTTTTTATAAATTTTCCCACTGAAAGCATGCACTACCTTTATATACATTAAACATCTTGTTATAAAATGCTATCAGAGCACTCTGAAAGGGGAAAGCTGTTAGTGTCTTCCTCTGGTTAACTACGCTAGGTAGCAATCCAAAAATGACTTTTGACAAACACCCTGAAGCCTCAAACATCCCTCAATACCACAGCAGAGCAGTATGAACAACTAATTTAAAATAACTTGCAACGTAATTATACAATGAATTGATTTTTTAAAACCAGTTGACAAGGCTTTATGATTTTGTTTTATTACTAGAGTCCCCAGATGGAGATGTACAAGTTAAAGGAAAGTAACAGGTGAAGGAAAGTGACCAGACTGACACTCCAGTGACTAGAGCAGACATCAAACACCAGGGACACTTGCCTGCCCTCACCTTCCAAAGTCCTCGCCTGCTGAAATGTGAGCAGATATCAGCCCACACAGGCTCCTCTGAGGCTTCTGATTTGATGAAAAGCAATACTCTGTCAGATCAAACCCTTAGCAAACAACTGCACTACAGAAAGAAGAAAAGTGGGGGGCAGTGCAAGAGCATAATGAATACCCACCATGCCTTCTCCCAGAGTCTTCTGTAACTTTTGTTAAGACCTTAGAGCTTTTTTCCCGTTTAACATAGTGACGCAACTTAGGATGTGGGACACAGAGAACTCTGGGTCCTCAACAGATCCCGAGGCATCTATCTGTAAGGGTTCCCATACCTGAAACCTCATTCCTCAGCAAACTGCTCAAGCTGAGGAAGTTATGGTGCAAGACCAGTAAGAAGAGAGCAACAGCCAGGACCAAGATGACGATGTTTACTGAAACAGATGGGAAAAACCTGCATTACACGTCTTTACTTTTGACCAGGTATCAAAACAATCTAACTTGTAGAAAGAGCATACCTTTACGGAATGACATTTTTCTCTTCTGTCTTATATAAATATTAGTTATTAACCCTACAAAACAAAAACAAGCACCCAAAGTCATTAAGTATATGAGAATGGCCATCAAAATGCCTAAACACTTTTATTCGGGTAGAAACATGAGGCACATATGGTACTCTGTCAGAAACTTGAATTAACAGTTTCCAAGAACCCAAGTCGGGATCTGAAATTTTTATGGTAGTAAAAATATTTCCAAATAACTTGGAGAAATACACAGCTTTAGCCATGTACATCATGCACTACTAGATGACAAGCAAAAGAAATTCTACTGTGAGGAATACCTGGCGTCTAACCACTAGAGAAACATTTAAGAATAAATTTCTACTTAAAATTCCTAAAATACACATGGACTCAGTTGTCTGTTACCAAGCACCCTGAGGTCGTAGCCTCATCACTTCAAAGCATCCCTGTTCAGAGTTGTATCCCAGTTACCTTTAACATGAGTATGCTCATAGGAAAAAACATTATCTAAATTCACTTGACAAAACCACAACACAGAAAAACAGTTACAGAAATTCACAAAATCCAATCTTGTTATCAAAAGTTTAGTGTATTTCTAGCCATTTTAACTACAAAAATTACTGTCATTCTGCCCTAGCTAGTCTTCCCCAGCTCATCTGATGCTTTCACTTTTTCAAAACAAATAATTCAATGGAAACAAGATTGTAGGTAGAACTAAATTTAACAATTAAATTTCTTCAACAACCTCTGGGTAAAATGTTTCCTTAAAAACAGATTTTATGCAACCAGGATATTGTGATCCTACATTTTGGCCCTTTTTTTACTTCATCTTCACCCATGGTAGCACCTAACATTTATATAAAGCTATTAATTTTACAGAGCACTTTCAAACATAGCATATTTCTAAGAAACAAAGTAAGTTAGAATTAATTTCATTCTAGGCAAATTGTGTACATATCAAGCACTTCATTTCTCAAGGCCTTTGTAAAGAGGAGAAATATATTGAAGATCTGTTTAAAAAACTGGGGATCACAGGCCAGATTGTAAATTTGGGGGAAAATAATTCAGACTCCCAAGGAACAATCTAAATACACACACACATGCACCTTTCTAGATCAGTATATATGAAGTACATTATACCAATGAACTTCCTCTCTAAAGAATACACATTATCTACCTAAGCCATTGTGCCTCTATCATATTGTGACCCTTATCTATTGGGAGTTGCTTAGATAAAGCCCCAACATCTGCCTGCATTAAGCCAACTTTTACCATGACTGGAGAAAACAGTCTCACTCCAATAAATCCCAGTTAGTTAATGGCACAAGGGACAATGTTTTAGCTCCTCAACTTCCAGTAACACTCACAGGTAGGATACGGATTGAGAGGCACATGCACTTGTGCTATTCCAGTTAGCTGGACACATAAAAAACACAATTCTAGCATGTATTTGATATACTTAAGTAGATTAGCATGGCAGAAACCACTTCCCCTAAGACTGTTCCACAGTTACGTACATGTAAAATGCCAATTATCATGGAGTATGTCTAGTCCATATTTCTTTTCCTGGTGCTATTCCTGTTAACAGAGCTTCCCTGATCTGGTTAGAAGGGATTCTCAAAACAAAATTGTATGTAGACCCTGGATGTATAATAGTAGCTACATTTTTGTAAGAGTACATGATGTGTACAGTTTGATCAGCAATATAATTGGCCCTCTGTATCCATGGAGGATTGGTTTCAGGACCTCCCCCGTGGATATCAAAATCTGTGGATGCTCAAGTCCCCCGTATAAAATGGCATAGTATAGTCAGCCCTCTGTATCCATGGACTTTGATCCACGGTTGGTTGAATCTGAGGATGTGAAACCCGTGGATACAGAGGGCCAATTATATTCAACTGTTCCCTATTAAAATAAATATTTTTGTTCAGAAATTATAAAACTTCCACATTCCTAAATCACTCACAAAAACAAAACAACAAACCTTTATATAAGTAAACTTAAGGAAACAAACAAACAAAAAAACAACAAATCTACACACACACAAATGCACATAGGCCCAGGTCAGGCATACCCAGAAATATGAAAGAAATTTTAGGGGAAAACAACTTTATTTTAACTTGCTAGCTACCTGCATTTATACCCAAATTCTCAGCAGCTGTGCCCACCTTTTCTGTTTTCCTTCCTGTTACTATGGATCAACTACTTCCATGAAAGGCCATTCTACTGGTGTTCTGTATCCTCTCCTATAATTGTTTCCTTGGTGTAGCATCATCTTTTGCTCTCTGATGGATCACACCCATCAACATGCTATCATGCTCAGGTATCTTCCAGTTAATTAAAAAAAAAAAAAAGACACCATGCCTCCCATTCCCCACTAACCCACAGACCCATTTCTCTTTTCCTCCTCAGTCTAAAAGCTTGAAAGGATACAGTCTCTAGCTCCACTCCCTCTCTTCTCTCTTTAGCCTCCCTCCTCCAATCAGACTTCCCCCACATTCAAACTGCTCTTATGGAGGTCGCCAAAGACTAAGGTCATTTTTCTGTCCTCCTCTTACTGATCCCCTCAGAGACCATCAGGAAACTTCACTACTCCCCCCCCTCAATTATGAAATTACCTCATTTATTTCCATCTTCCCTGACTAGAATGTAAGCTCTATGAAAACAGGGACCCAATGAAAATGTTTACTCATGTATCCCTGCCACCTAAAACTGTATCTGGCAAATGGTAGTAGGCATGTATTTGTTGAATGATCTTGCTAATCTAGGAGCGAGGCTAGTTCTCGGCTCAGAAAGGGAATGCAATCTTTGGTAATAATCATGAAAACAAATTCCAACATAAGGAAAAACATGGATTCCAATGGAACTGTCTCAAATGGAACCTGATAGGCAATTTCCTTTTCCCATATCTTTATAGCTCAAACACCATAAAGTCTCTACAGCAACTGCCATCACATGAAGTCCACCTGAAGAGAGACAACACAGAGATATGTCTATTTATACACACAAGAGAAAGTCTGTTCAAACACACCAAGAAATACACACATAGCATGGAAAGGAGACCAGTATAAATTCTTGCCCCTCCCTATTTCTGCCCTCTACATGCACTGGCTCCTTCTGAGGTTAGAAAAATGTCAAAGGTGTCTGTACTTTACTGTTTGCTCTCTGCCACGTGGACGGATAGAAAGGCACTGAGGATATACATACATTTTCTTCTACCTCTTCATCTAGCTAGCTCCTACTTGGTTTTCAGGAGTCAAGGCGGCCTCCTCCAAACGCCACGTTGAGCTGCACCTCTCCTGAGCTCCCACATCTCCTGGGCCTCCCTAGCCCGGGGCTAATCCGTTGTTACATATTTCCAGAGTGATGTGGCTGTCTACTTGACACACTGTTGGCTCTAATAAGGCAAGAGCCTGGTCTTGGTAACAGCCGTACACTCGGTCCCCTGGCACAAAACAAGCGTGCCGTGAACATTTCCTGGCTGCATGAATGAGGCAAGCAGCCACACATCACCTTGCCCCAGGAATGCCTAGATTCCCACTGTCTTTGGCTAACCCTGCTTACATAGTCTAGAGACCAGAGAGGCGGCTGGGACCCAGAGGCCTGGGTTCCCCAGAACGGTTTCTCTCCAATACGTGGGCACCCCACCTAGCTCGCGGTAACCGGGGGAGGCTCTAAGATTTTGAGATATACACTAGCCTTGAAAGAGGGACTGGGTGAACCCTTGGCTGGTATCTATAGGGAGGACCAAGCCTGGGTCTGTAAGGGCCAGTAGAGTCAGCCAGCACGTACGGGACCCACCGGATGGGAGACTCTCTCCCTGTGGGTGCCAGGGATGGTCGAGGACAGAGGTCACTTCTCCGAGAGAATGGCCCTTTCTCTCGAGGATGTGGCCTGGGGTAGTCCTCCCTAAATTCTAAGGCTCAGTAGGGCGCTCTGATCCTCAGGAGTGATCCAGAGGTACTGTGACGCTCCAGGGATCCAGCCAGGCCCAGAGACATCTCGGGTCAAGTATTTACCCTCGGAGGCTCACTGCAGGCGCCCTTACCTGCAGGCGGAGCAGGAGCTGCAGCTGCCGACGCCGACGCCCGCGCCCCGGCCCGCCCTGCCAGCTCAGAGCCCGGGACGCAGGCCCGGGGGCCCAGCCAGCCGCCGGGCCACCGGCGACCCCTGCACTCAGGGCGGAGCCCACTTGCCCGCTCGCTCCAGGGCAGCACTGTAGTCCTACAGTCCCCAGCCCACCCGTTGCTCGGGCTGCGAGCTCGTCTCGTCAAGCAGGCGCCGCTGGGCAGCCCCGCTGCCGGGGTCCTCGTAGAGAAAGGCCGTCGCCATGGAGACGCAGCGCGCGCAGGTGGCCGTTAAGCCGCGCTGTGGAGCGCAGTTTTCTGGGCCGGGTCCGCGGCGCCCGGCACCCAACAGCACTGACGGCGAAACCTTCACGGGCGCGCGATGCCGGGGCCGGGTCGCTGCGGTCGCCACCTCAGCCCTCGCGGGCAGCACGCCGAACTACAGCCGGCAGCGAAAGTGCACGTCGCCTAGCGATGGCGCGGGGCGGGGCCATGGGCTGTCCCAGCTTGTCGGAGACATCCGCTTCCGGATCCGCGGCCATCGCACTCCCCGGCTCGGCTGGCCCGCCAGGCGACGCACTGTACCAGACCCCGGCCGCTACGATCGCTGAGTCTCAGTCGCCCTCGCCCTGTAGCTTGCCGCCTGCGCTCTACCGCCCGCCTCTTCGACCAGCCATGCTGGAGCATCTGAGCTCGCTGCCCACGCAAATGGTGAGGGCGCGGCCCGGGGATCTCCGCATGCTGCTGTCTAGCCTGGCAGCTTCAAAGCCCTTGTCGGAGCACCGACCCGGTGCTGCGCGGTTTCTGGCCCGGATTGCCTCCTGTGTCCCCTTCTGTCTTCCCTCGCGAGGATCCCCCTGTTTATGCTCCGTTAGGATGCTTCAGTTCCCCCCAGGAAACCCAGAATTTGATTCTTTGCCCAGGCCCCTGATGTTGGGGTTATCCTGTGCCAAAGCTGTGAGGTCAGGGCAGGAACTGTACCTCCTCGGTGGTGGACCCAATTGTTTTTTGCTCTCCTTCACTTCAGGACTACAAGGGCCAGAAGCTAGCTGAACAGATGTTTCAGGGAATTATTCTTTTTTCTGCGGTAAGTATTGATTTTATATTTAATTTTCCCTCCACTCCCTACAGCTTGACTGTGTTTAATGTACTTTGTCTGTCTCTAGATAATTGGATTTATCTACGGGTACGTGGCTGAACAGTTCGGGTGGACTGTCTATATAGTTATGGCCGGATTTGCATTTTCGTGTTTGGTAAGAAATTAGTGGGTGTTAGTGGCAACTCAGGTTTTCTGAGTCAGGTTGCTTTGGTTGGACCTAGTTAGTAGTGTCTGTGGCTAACCCTGCATACATAGCATAGAGTCACCTTTCCCCTCATCCTTCCCATCAGTGTTCCTCTTGCAATCATTGGAAAAGTAGAATGCCTAATAGTGTCAGATGGTGTGGACTGCATAAAAGAATACAGCTTATTTCCTTTGGCAGCTACTCCAGGCAATAATCTTAAGGTCAAAGCTAGCAGGAATATCTTGTGTTCCCATTGCCCCCTCACCTTTCTTGTAAGTCTTAAAGCCACTTATGTGTAAACAGAGTGTGTTCCCATCTTACAGTATCTGTCTGGGCAGTGGCACAGAGCTTTCATAGGAATATCAGGGTTTTTTTGTTTTGTTTTTTTTGTTTTTGTATAGGAATCATTTGGAAACTAGGCATTTTACAAAATGGTTTCTAAAACTTTTAATGGCTATAAATGATGCATGTTCTTTGTTCTGGCCCAGCTGACACTTCCTCCCTGGCCCATCTATCGGCGACATCCTCTCAAGTGGTTACCTGTTCAAGACTCAGGCACAGAAGATAAGAAACCAGGGGAGAGAAAAATTAAGAGGCATGCTAAAAATAATTAATTGGAGTTTTCGTGATCAGCACCTGCTTTTGTTTCCTGTGAAATGAGCTAAATTGCTTCATACCCAAAATATGAGCTAAGCCATCTATGTTCTAATGGCACAACTGTGTATAGATTTAGTTCTCATTATATTTCATTTCTAACCCAGGTGGGTTTTGACTTATAAATAGTTTAGACCCTCTCTTCATAATCTTCCTCTGAAATGGGAACAGAAAACACAAGTATGTTGTTTCTTTCACGTATACATAAATAACAAAGAATAAATGCCTCATAAAAGATAGTACAATTTAACTGTCAAAGTTTTATAATTCATTATGAGTCATTAAACCATTTTAATGTTTCCAATTAAAAAGTCATAGTGCAAGTTTATGTCTAAAGGGTCTTTTGTTCATTGTTCTGCAAGCAAGAGTATTAGTATAGCCAAAGTTAGAAGCTTGGGGTTCTGAAAGCATGAGCACCATTTTTATTTTCTGTGGCTAGTATATTTGTAACAATAGCAAGCACCTATGAAAAAATGTATTAATGTAAATTTGTGGTAAAGTAATATTTTGGTACCACTGAAATAAGGCTGTTGTTAAGCAGAAAACATTTAATTCATGCTTTACTTGAAATGGACCAAACTAAAAACCCATAAAGCTGTAAAATCCTTTTTCTTTTTCCAGAGGGCTGAAGAGAAAAATGTGCTTAAAGGTTTTGTGTTAGAGGTTTGGAGTGGGAGGGTTATTATAGGTAAATGCTTTGTTTCACAATGCAAGGATACAGGACTTCCAAACTATGAGTTTTAAAAAAAGGTAGCAAAGACCTTAATACCTCAAAACTCAGGAAAGATTTTTTTTAAAGGTAATAAAAATTAAGAAGGCAGAAATAAGACCAAGCATATTAGTATAATAAATGTGATTAAAAAGTCAGAAGTTCCCAGATAGGGTTAAAAATCAAATTACCTCATGTTCTCAAAATGAATCCAAAGGTTAAAAACAGGAGCAAGGATATATTAGGCAGATGAAAGCATAAAACAGGGGTAATAGTGAAAAAGTCAAATACTTAGAAAGCATTAAATGGTACAAAGAGGACATTTCACAGCTGCCAAGATGTCACTATTAGGAATCATTGTATTGAATAAGATGTGAACTATAAAATAAAAAGTTAAAAAAGAGCCATGAACTGTATGAAGCAAAGACTGTTACATATATAAAAGTTTGGCAAAGCTACCCTCTTGTAGACCAATATGCTGTCTTTCCGCATTTGGCAGATCAAGTAGACGGGCAACAGATATGTAGACTTTTGTTCTTAATTCCCTGGTCTTGGAACGTTTTCCCTCAGATACCCATGTAGTATGCCCCATCATGATATATCCACTTAGCCTACTTTTTCATGGCATTTAATACATCTCATCGTATATATTTGTTAATTCTTCTCACTAGAACATTAGCTCCATGGGAACAGGGAATTTGTTTCGCTCACTGCTGTCTGCCCAGTACCTAGGAGAGTACAAGACACATTGCAGGTACAATAAATATGTATTGAATGAATGATACAGAAAGAACTATGCTGTCCAATATGGTGCCACTAGTCACATGGGTCTATTTATACTTAATTAAAATTAAATAAAGTTTAAAATTCAGTTCCTTAAACTAGCCACAATTGAAGGGCTCAATAGCCATATATGACTAGTGGCTACCATATTGGACAGTGTAGATATAGAACATCTCCATCACAAAATTGTATTGATTAGGTCTTACACAGAACCTTGAATAATATTTAACAGGTAAGTGATTTTGTGTTTAACAATACACCTTTATTGAATGCCTATAGGGCCATTGCAACAATGAATCACATACTAAGCAACAGGAAAAAAAAAAAACTCTTAAGAAGTAGAGGTTGTGCAGGTCATATTCAGTAACAACACTGCAATGTAGCTGAAGCAAGGACATAGAACTTCGAAAGCTTTCTAAGTCCGTGGAAATTAAACACTTCTAAAAGAGAAAATCAAAATCAGGATTACTGACTTTTTGGAACTAATGTCAAAAGAGTATCAGATCAAAGCCTCTGAAATGTGGCCAAAGGTATATTCATTCAGAAGAAAATTCATAGTCTTAAGAATGTATTTTAAAATCAGTTAAGGAAAATGAACAACGAATTAAGCAGTCAAGAAAAAACCCACAAAATAACGAAAAGACAGTGGGATGAAAATTGAATGAATGTGGGGTTTTTTGTTATTTGAGACAAGGTCTCACTCGTTGCCCAGGCTGGAGTGCAGTGGCACAATCATAAACCCCTAGGCTCAAGCAATACTCCTGCCTGCCTCAGCCCCCTAAGCAGCTGGGACTGTAGACATGCACTACCACACTTGGCTAATTTTTTTTTATAGAGATGAGGTCTCACTATGTTGTCCAGGCTGCTCTCCACTACTGGTCTCAAGCAATTCTCCCACCTCGGCCTCCCAAAGTGTTGAGATTACAGGCCTAAGCCACAGCCTCTAGTGAATATTTAAACAAAATAAAAAATATACAGCATGGGAATAAGAAAAGTATGGGGGAGACTCTTAATTCTAAGAAAATAATACCTACTTTATACCAATAAGTTAGAAAATGTAAGTAAAATGGATGACTGTCCAAAAAGATGTGGAGTTCCAAAACATGGAAGAAGACGTGAATAGCTCAGGGAGACTCAAGAGTTTGACAAATATTTGCTTCCAGCTGAGGACTGGGACTAGATGGTTTTACAACTTGAGTTGTACCTAACCCTTCGGAGTGAAAATAAAAGGTCTCCGAAACCAGGCTGTGAGCACTGTAATGGCGGGGACTATTGCTTTATTCACCAATATATCCCTAGCTCCTGGCTAAGCACCTGGCACAGAGTAAAAACTAAATAAAAATTTGATAAGTGACTGTAAAGGGAACATTTCATTAAGAGTATTTTTTTGTATGTGTATAATTTTCAAAAAAAGATACATTTTTAATAAAAACTGAAAACATTTCTGGAGCAGTATTCATTTTTAGAGCCCCTTGAATACAGAATGAAAATTTACTCATCAAAACTTGTATTTAATTTTATAAAAACTATTTATTTCCTAGATGGGCATTATCTCTTATTAAACAACTAATAAAATATGTGACATACAATTATACATTTAAATCACAGAAAGACAACCAATATCTTGACGTACATGAAGACAAACTGAAGGAGACAAACATTAAATATATCCAAAATAACTAAATAGACCAGGAATTTACTTATAAATTGCTTAACTAGAAAAGGAATTAGTATTTAAGAAATGTTTTCACTGATGAAAAATTAAACCTAAGAAAACCAGTATATAAAAAGATGATGATTTACAAAGCTAATACATCTCTTAGTTTTAGTTCTTCTGTACCCTAAATAGGTTCATATTAAATGAAAATAAAATCCATCAAGGTGTAAAAAAGAAATTCAGTTACTCAAGTATTAGAAAGAACTTCATATTCTTTAAATTTATTCCCAGAATTGTGAATTGACTTTTTAAAAAATAATTTACTAAATTAGCTGGGCGTGGTGGCTCACGCCTGTAGTCCTAGCTACTCAGGAGGCTAAGGTAGGAGGATCGCTTGAGCCCAGGAATTTGAGGTTGCTGTGAGCTAGGCTGATACCACGGCACTCTAGCCCGGGCGGCAGAGCAAGACTCTGCTTCAAAAAAATAAAAATAATTTACCAACTACTCCCTAAGGTTATTAACAATAGCAGGTAATATTATATCATTTGTTTCTCCTATTGCTTTTGTCACTATAATACAATATAAAACCTCCAATCCAGTATTTTATGGTCCTGTTTTCAAGCTAATTAGTACCTTAAAAAAAATAAAGTTCTACATATAAAGTTAGTGGTTTAAGGCTCAGTAAATGGTAACCAAACAAACCCAACAGATTTGTCCTCATAAAGAGTATGAAAGCCAAGGTTTTTCTTTTGTGAGCTGGCTTCGTATTACTCTGTTCTGTCCATTGTTTTTCCAGTAAGAAAACTTCAAAGAAATGTAAAAGGATGATGAATGGCCTTGAAACGATTGCTGTGGTTCATTTCTTTTTGTTTTTTAAGCCTCAAACCTTTGAAAACAGGTCTTTTCAAAAATTTACATTTTCTTCCAAAAATTTCAAGTGGCGAGCTTTCACACTGTAACTTGTATACTTTTCGCCCATGTGCTCCCGCAAATGTACCTATTAGAAAAACAGATGGATAAAAAGAAAATCAGTGTGTAGTTGAAAAAAATATTTCTGTAATCTTAGAGGAAGGGCTTTTCTAAGCATGATACCAAAGATGGAAACGATGGAAAAATACTAATAGTTTTGTTTACATAAAAATTTAACACTAAGATTTAAAAAAAAGTCATAAGAAATTAAAGAGCAAACAATAAACTAGGGAAAACATTTGCAACATTCATGCCAAAGGATTAATAGCATTAGTATGTAAAGAGATCTTAAAATCCAACAATATTAGCATTGATAAAATAACAAAATCCCACAGATAATTCAGCAAATCCATTTATATATGTATATAAATGTAAATCCCATACATTTACAAAATGTAATACAAATAACAAATTAATATGAAATTTAACCTAATAATCAAAATGTACTGTGTGACAATCAGTGTATGTCTGTTGAAAGAAATGCTTGAGATTAAAATAACACCTAGTATGTTAAACATATGTACTAGTATGTTAACACCTCCTGAGACAATGCACTGAGGACATATCACTTCTGTGGTATTCCTGACAAAAATGTATAACCTAAGCCTGGCATGGTGTCTTGTGCCTGTAGTGCCAGCTATTCCAGAGGCTGAGGCAGAAGGATCACTTGAGCCCAGGAGTTCAAAGCTGCAGTGCGTTATGATCGCACCTGTGAAGAGCCACTGCACTCCTGGCAACACAATGAAACATAGTCTCAAAAAAATAAACTGGGCTCAAGCAATCCTCCTGCCTCAGCCTCCCGAGTGCCTGGGACTACAGGCATGTACCACCATACCCAGCTAACTTTTTCTATTTTTAATAGAGACAGGGTCTCACTCTTGCTTAGGCTGGTCTCGAACTCCCGAGCTCAAGCAATCCTCCTGCCTCGGCCTCCCAGATTGCTAGGATTACAGGTGTGAGCCATAGCACCCAGCCCTTTCTACATGATTTTACAGACTAATACATTTTTTAAAATTATTAGTCTAAAAGCTAATATTATTATAGCTTTGGTTTGTAGTCTACATTTTGTTATCTACATAATTGAAGAGACTAATGCATTTTTAAAAACCAATTAGTTCGTGTTTTTGGATGCCCAATGTAAAAAGACATAATATTGTGACATCGATAACTGGAAGAGGTTGGGATGGAGCTGTTAAAAGAGTAGAGTT